GGATAGGTTCCTCCGTCTCGCCTTATTTAGACCTGCGAATGATACTTATAATTCATCCAGACATTTTATTCAATAAACTAAACGATTTTGAAAAATAATTTAAAATTAATATTAGTTATTTTATTTTATTTGACTTAATCATTTAGTTCTCAATTCGTGAACATAATTTTATATTAATAGTGTTGGTTTTGTATATTTCGTCTAAAACTCGCAAATATTTACCTATTTCGTGTTGGAACATGTTTTTTTTTTCAAGTTCAACGACTCCTAACGGGCTTATTATTGCTTTTTATTAATTTTAAATGTCAACAGCATCCGGATGGTGCTAGAATGAATAACGTCTCAACAATTTAACGACCGTGGTTTATGATTGTTTAAAAAAAAAAAAACCAAAAAACTTTATGAAGCTTTACGGGATTCGAAATTTAAAATGAAAATTTGTTTTGAAATGGCAACAAAATTAGTCGAATATGAATTCGAATTTCATTTAAGTATACATCAAATAAGTTTTATTTTAATTATAGCCAAACTATTTTAGTCCATCTATATATTAATACGCGAAGCAAAAACTTTGTATCCCTTTTTACGAAAATTGCGTGGACGGAGGAGTATGAAATTTTCCACACTTATACGGAAAATAGAGAAGAAGTGCACAATGCTAATATTTTTTTTTTAAATAATGCATAAAAGATACATTAAATCAATAAATAAAACATTACACACACTAGATATCATGTATTTGACGCACACACGCATGCATACTATTTATTGTCAAACTTTTGTTCTTGACGTCAATTGTCAAATTGCGAATAGAATATCGTTTGTGTTTTTTAATATTTTTTATAGTGTAGTCTTGGCGAAATTTGTGATTATAGAAGTATAAAATACAATCATAATAGTGTACAAACTTACAATTCCAATTAATTATAGTCGTATTTCGACTACTGCGGGACCTATTCTATTATATTTTATTCTATGTTCTATAATACTCTATTATATCGGTGGTGTGGGCGTATGTATATGGATATTACAGGCGATCCCATTCCTACCGCTAAGAAATTATTCGTTCCATTTTGAAGCCATCTATGGCCATCTAAAGTCGGTCTAAAGGCTGCATTCACATTGTGACGTGTAGATGCTCCTGTGACCAATTAACATCACTTCCGTCACCGGATAATGCAATCATAAAAAACTGCGAACATGAATTATTTATGATAATACATATGTATGTACATGTTTATAAAAAAGAAAAGTGAAATTAAATCTCATCTCTCTCTCTCTATCATCAAATCTCTAATCAAAATTACATTGTGTTAAATTTCCGTTATTATATTGTCTAATACTTCAGACCTAAGCAAACGAAAAAAAAAATATATCAACGAATATATTTGATACCAATAAACAATAAGGTTTTATTTAAACAAGTATTACGACCCTATATTAATATATACTCTGTGCAACAAGTGACTCTCACTCGATATCTCCTTCAAATATTTTACCAATGAGGATGATAAAACAGTTAAAATTACGAAACATCTTGCATCAAGCCTTTCATATATAATAATGATACGGAATAATACGAAACGATTCTCACGGCTGCTATAATGTGATTCATTTCGTAATACAATACCAAGTCGTTCTATTGATGCGAAAAAAATTAAGCTCCCTCCAAATAAAGGCATGAATCTAGTACATTATATACCATATGCAAAGAGTTCGCGTCATAGAATCAATGGAGAATAATGAGATGGGACTAAATCAAAAAAACTATGAACAGTAAAACCTTCGCTTTACTAAACATACTGTTGATGGATACGGTATATGACTGAGCAGAGTAATCAACATGGGTGTCTCCCTATCCGGCTTACGACTTGAAGTTTTAAGGTAACGTCTTAATTAAATCGTAATAAAAGCTATAATACATTATATACCATATACAACAAGTTCGCGTCATAGAATCAATGGAGAATAATGAGATGGGACTAAATCAAAAAAACTATGAACAGTAAAACTTTCGTATAACTAAACATACTGTTGATGGATACGGTATATGACTGAGCAGAGTAATCAACATGGGTGTCTCCCTATCTTTTTTTTTTGTTGTTGCTTACATGTGTGGACGAGCTCACAGCCCATCTGGTGTTAAGTGGTTACTGGAGCCCATAGACATCTACAACGTAAATGCGCCACAAACCTAGAGATATAGTTCTAAGGTCTCAGTATTGTCACAACGGCTGCCCCAGCCTTCAAACTGAAACGCATTACTGCTTCACGGCAGAAATAGGCGGGGTGGTGGTACCTACCCGTGCGGACTCACAAGAGGTCCTACCACCAGTAATCTGGCGTGCGTCTTGAAATTTTAAGGTAACGTCTTAATTAAATCGTAATAAAAGCTATAATATCCATAAAACCGAGACTGAATCGCGACAATCGTGGAACGATTATGGAAAATTGTTGTTTGGGCCATTCGAGCTGAACGAATATCGTGAGCAATTATTATTATTATTATAATTATGAAATCTTTATTTCAGTAAAGAAACCATACATTTTGTTAGGAAGTCTTATAATCTATGTATCTATGTAACATGTTACTATTTGACTATTGATTCTTTCTCAAATGGCTGCTGCAAAGGCTATTAAATAGCAGTTCCTCGATCTTGCTCGATATGATGTTGAGTATGCTTAGTGCGAGCGTATTAACGTTCTCGATAGAGTAAAAGTTAACTCAAATTTGAGTGCCCCTAACGGTAAACGTAGGCAAACGTTCTAATTCCATACAAATTTGAGTTAACTTTTACGATATCGATAACGTTAAAAACTCGCACTAAGCACACAGAAGACTGTTGTCACTGTCACGCACTCGATGCAACAACGATGCCACATCCGATTCGTTTTCTTATCTCCGCAAATCGATTAAGTACATTATTATGTAAGTTAATGAAACGTCTTTATAAAAAACGCGTAGGTACGTACGCTTTGCTCCAGATAGTAAAGAAAAGGTACGATTTTATTGAAAGCCGTATGACCGTGTCCACGTTACGGATTACGCAAGGCCACACTTTCGTTTTATTGAATGTAAACAAATTAGACGCGTGTCCGAAACGTGCTGTATAGTTTTTTCGGAAAACGAGTTGAACTCAAAATCATAAAAATGTTTTTTTTTTTTTCAATGTGTAGCTCAATCGTACCACGTAATTCGAATTTTACAGCCAGAAAATTTCAGATAGAGACACAATATATTTTTTTGTTTGTTTAATTACGCTATCAATATCTATGTATATAAAAATGAATTGCTGTTCGTTAGTCTCGCTAAAACTCGAGAACGGCTGGACCGATTTGACTAATTTTGGTATTGAATTATTTGTGGAAGTCCAGAGAAGGTTTAAAAGGTAGATAAATATCAAATTCCTTTTGTTTGTTTTAAATTTGTTTTATACAAAAGTTTGGGTCTTTTATTTATCGATTGAGGCACTACGAAGTCTGCCGGGTCAGCTAGTTATAATATAAATTACAAGTATAGGTAATAAAGATATAAATAGCCCGTTCATTCGTTTTTTTTTGAAGAAATCACCGGTAGTGAAATAAATTTTACAAATATTACAATACGATTGAGAAAAGTCTATAACACAAAAATCTAATCATTCAATGTAAATAGGTATCGTCAAAACTGCTTGATTTCAAAAACTTCCGAACCTTAGTTCAAACAAAGTTTAATGGCTCCAGTTTTCCGTGTTTTTACTGAGACTACATACTACCTAATATTATTATCAACTTAAATTTAAACGCGGCGCGGACAATCTTTATCGAAAAAAAATTACTAAATGTCATACTAACAAAAATGTTAAAAAAGCGCGCGAATTTAAATTGACTTAATTTCTCTATTGATTGTCGTCTATAGTCTATGGGATCCGAAAACGACTTTAGCTCACGCGAACAGCGAAGAAAACTGGCCAGTTCTATAAATATGTATTCTACGTACCCAGTTAAGTGCATACGTAACAATTGCACATGCGCTCACGCACTCATGCGATCACACATAACCGCTGCTATTCTCATACACAAACAATACATTACTTATGATAAACAGCATATTTATGGCCTATTAGGTTCGTCGAGGAAAGACATTTATCTCGCTTGTGAATTTTAGAGATTTATAAATCAAATTTCACTGTTAACGTTCAACAGTAAATTACAAAAAAAAAATATTGGATGTCTTTCATCAGGCTTAATTAGGAATGTTTGTTTTTAAAATGCTATAATTCATGTTCTGTTATTGCTTAAAATGATTGAAGTCATTTGAAACGGATACAAAAAAAGAAAACAGACATAGAGGTAATGTTACTATTTTAAATTGTAATATCTCTCTGCGTAGCTGCAATGAAATGACCGAGCCGATATTTTGGGTGGATAGCCGTTCTTAACATGTAGGATTTTAATTTTACGTTTTAGGGTTGTGGCAATTAAGGTTAGTAGCACAGTGACTAAATTATTATTAGTATTTTTTTATTGCTTAGATGGGTGGACGAGCTCACAGCCTTCCTGGTGTTAAGTGGTTACTGGGGCTCATAGACATCTACAACGTAAACGCGCCACCCATATTGAGATATAAGTTCTAAGGTCTCAACTATAGTTACAACGGCTGCCCCACCCTTCAAACCGAAACTCATTAATGTTTCACGGCAGAAATAGGCAGGGTGGTGGTACCTACCCGTGCGGACTCACAAGAGGTCCTACCACCAGTAATTACGCAAATTATAATTTTGCGGGTTTCATTTTTATTACACGATGTTATTCCTTCACCGTGGAAGTCAATCGTGAAAATTTGTTGAGTACGTATTTCATTAGAAAAATTGGTACCCGCCTGAGATTCGAACACCGGTGTATTGCTCAACACGTTTGCACCGGATCTCTTATCCTTTAGGCCACGACGATTTCAAAACAAAATAGATCTCTTAATTCATACTCAGTAAGATACATAGTCGATAATTCAAAGTACTCACATAATCGGCTAAACTCTTCATTCCGTAAGGGAACCGTTCTCTGTCCGGCACTAGTCTACCTCTCTCGTCCCTCTCCCGCTCCAGCCAGCAGTCGTCCACGTTGATGTACTCGTACCCAGCCGCGGTATACCCTTCGGTCACTAAGATATCGGTCATGGTACGGAATAGACGATCGCTGGAAGGAAAAAAACAGAGTAAGACCTTAGCGAGGACAAACGTTGCATTCATTATCGGCATTGTTATGTGGACGACCCATCTACTGTCAAGTGGTTTTTTTATTTTTTTTTATTGCCCTTGTAGGCAGACGTACATATGGCCCACCTGTACCGTCGCCCATGGACTTCAACAATGCCAGGGGCAGAGCCAGGCCGCTGCCTACCGCTTAATATCCTCCACAAGCCTCGTTTGAAGAAGAACATGTCATAGCGCTCGGGAAACACCGTGGAGGGGAGTTGATTCCAAAGCCAAAGATGCTACCAACATTGAGACATTAGGTTGAGCGTCTCAATTTTGTAATGACTGTCGCACTTCGAATTCCGCCATGAATACATCGAATCATATAGACGTACTGGTTTAAAATACGTCATATCGCTATGAAAAAAAACGGCATCAGTATTTTTGTAAGAAATCAAATGTATATATTTATTTCAAACTGATATCCAATTTTCGAGAATGGAGAACGGCTAGAAGTAGGCAAGTCAATCATCATTGGAATTATTGTTCTGCTTTTAAAGGTATTTATAACTGTTATTTTTTTTTTATTGCTTAGATAGGTGGAAGAGCCCACAACCCACCTGGTGTTAGGTGGTTACTGGAGCCCATAGACATCTACGATGTAAATGCCCCACCCAGCTTGAGATATAAGTTCTAAGGTCTCAGTATAGTTACAACGGCAGCCCCACCCTTCAAACCGAAACGCATTACTGCTTCACGGTAGAAATAGGCAGGGTGGTGGTGGCACACCTACCCGTGTGGACTCCCAAGAGGTCCTACCACCAGTGAACACTGCACGTCTGGTTCTTTAGGCTACGCTGACCATTCACGCCTCCCTAATCTACTAGTCAGTAAAATAAACTCACCTGATACAATTTTCAGGGTCGTTTTTGCAATCGGTGTTACACCTAAACCGTTCCCAGGCCAACCAGCCCATGGGCGGCGTCAGCACCAAGCCATTGTCCAGTCCCGAGATGTTACCCGACAGAAACACAAACACACAAACCGTCGACACAGCGATAAACTTCCACGAAGCCATTTTGTATCACAGATAAAATAATAAACAATTTAAAAAAAAACCAATAGATTATCTTCCGCGAACACTTATGCACATAGTTTTTTGTTTTTGTTTTGCAATATTATAAATTTTAATTCGACAATTTTTCTGTGGTTATTTCTTCGCGCTGTTGTTCCGCTGTTGTCAACTCATTGGCATGTCTCGTTGAATTGTCACGCGAAGTTAAATACGTTCGGTTATCTGTGAACAAAAAGGAAGTGTTCTAATCGATATGTGGATAATTAATTTTCTATGGGGTCAAGTTCGTGAGGTCGTGACGTCGTAAACAGTGCATTCAGTTCTTACTGATTACAAGCTAGGTTAATTGGTGTTTTCGTAGATTAATATATAAAACGTTTTCTGAACCTAATACAAAAATTAATTGTAATTTATTCTTTTTATTTATTTATTTACGTAGTACGGACTCACAAGAAGCTCAATCACTAGTAGACAAACCTCAAGATGTACAATTAAATTGAAGTTATACATAGGTATTGAATACTGATAACAATACAGTAAGAACGAATTTTTTTTTTACTGATTACTCTACATGTCTATATATTAATACGTGAAGAAAAAACTTTGTATCCCTTTTTACGAAAATTGCGCGGACGGAGGAGTATGAAATTTTCCACACTTATAGACAATATAGAGAAGAAGTGCACAATGCTATTTTTTTTTTAAATAATACATAAAAGATACATTAAATCAATAAAGAAAACATTACACACAATACCATGTATTTGAAGCACACACGCATGCATACTATTTATTTATTGTCAAACCTTTGTTCTTGGCGTCTGTGGTCAAATTGAGAATAGATTAAATATTGTTTGTCTTTATTAATATTTTTTTTATAGCGTAGCCTTGGCGAAATTTTTGATTATAGAAGTATAAAATACAATCATAATAGTGTACAAACATACAATTCCAATTAATTATAGTCGAATTTCGACTACTACGGGAATACTCTAGTATTTAAAATTAGTCCAAATGCACATCGTGAATACTAAACGCCTTGAGAAGTTAGACTTATACAAAATTAGCATTGTACCATGGTCGAATTGCATCTTAAGTTATGTACTAACATCTTCAAGGTAGAACCAATTAGACTATAAAAATGTATGTCTAATCTAGTCAATTATCTTCCTTAGGGCGGATTCGACCAAACTTAAATTTAAACTCGAGTAACTATACGAGGAATAACCTATTCCATGATTTTAATCTCGAGTAAATTCATAGTCGTTTTTCCACGTATACTTGCGCTAGGAATAACAATACGCGAATAGCAGAGTGAATGGTGAACAAAAATAAAATCCGGCAAATAAATGTTGTTGTTCAACGGCATAGTGTAAGAGCATACAAATCGTCAACTCGATTTTGCCGTATTTTAGTGTGAAAAAGTAGCTGTTGTGTAAGATATCCAGCTGTCAAACGTATTATTTTTATTTCTTGTTTGTTTGAGGGAATTGTCAAGTTTTGTCGTGTGGTTTTATCTTTTTTCGTTTAAACGTTGCATTCAGACTATTAATAATCATTTAGTGCATTGCGTTGACTTGAAATTAAAACAGAATAAATATTTATGAAATGACAGAAATCAGATGTTGGACTGACAGACGCCATTACTTTATTCTAGGAATAGCTCCGTTATTCCGTGCGAAACGGCGGTATAGTAACAATTCCCGAATAGGCCCACTATTCTTAGAATTGTAGTTGGTAAAACGTAAAATTGATTTACTCTCGATTAACTGACGAGTTATTCTAAGAATAAGATTTACTCTTGTTTGGTCGAATCGACCCTTAATAGTTTTGTCATTAGTGTTATGTTTAGGTAGGGTTAACAAATGATTCTTATATTTTTGTTTTTGTATCAGTCTACCTGGCTTTTCTTGATTTCGGCGCTTCGAATATTATCCGCCGGCATTTTTATAAGTGCGTACGTGCAAAACTTAAAGTGTACTAAAATAAGTACAGCTATTATAGATTCGACAATTAATGTTGTCTCTCTAGTTTTTTGCTCCCGTTTTTATGGTTATTATGTATGTGGTTTTTTTTTTCGGATATTTTAAAGCGATTGTGGTCACATACGTCTTCGCTAATGACACGGCTATCTACTACTCGTGTAGGAAGATGTCGTTGCTGCATCGGCGACTCCAGATCGCAGCAACTACCATGGGACAGTGGTTCCGGAAGTGGCGCATCGACATCAACCCCACGAAAAGCACAGCGGTGCTCTTCAAAAGGGGTCGCCCTCCGAATACCACTTCGAGCATCCTACTCCCTAATAGGCGCGCAAACACCTCCGTCGTTAGCCCCGTCACTCTCTTTGGCCAGCCCATACCGTGGGCCTCGAAGGTCAAATACCTAGGCGTCACCCTCGACAGAGGGATGACATTCCGTCCCCATATCAAACCGGTACGCGACCCTGCCGCCTTCATATTAAGACGTCTCTACCCCATGCTTTGTAGTCGAAGCAAACTGTCCCTCCGTAATAAGGTGACTCTCTACAAAACTTGCATACGCCCCGTCACGACGTGTGTAAGCGTAGTGTTCGCTCACGCGGCCTGCACCAACTTCAAGCCCCTTCAGGTTATTCAATCCCGATTCTGCAGGATAGCCGTCAGAGCACCATGGTTCTTGAGGAACGTGGATCTCCACGATGACCTGTAGCTCGACTCTGTCAGTAAGTATCTACAGTCGCCATCATTGCGCCATTTCGAGAAAGCGGCTTGACATGAGAACCCTCTTGTCGTGGCCGCTGGAAACTACATACCCGATCATGTAGACCGAATGGTAAACAGTCGACGTCGCCCAAAGCACGTCATTATGGAATCTCCCGATCTATTAACGGTGCTTCTAGGTACCTCAAGCACCGGTCATCGTTCTTAAATTAACCCATAGACACAGCCCACCGAGTTTCTCGCCGGATGTTCTCAGTTGGTCGCGTTTCCGATCCGGTGGTAGATTCTGCGAAGCACTGCTCTTGCTAGGGTCAGTGTTAGCAACACTCCGGTTTGAGCCCCGTGAGCTCACCTACACACGTTAGGGTGAAGCTGAAATAACCTCTCAAGGCTAACAGCATGAAAAAAAACCTTAAATATTTATGTAGGACTTCAGTTAGAACGGAACCTAAGAATATAGTGTGGAACGGAGCGTTGAAGGTATGAGCGAGAGAAAACGGAAAAAAATACGTCAATTAATTTTTAGTTACATTACTAGCTGACCCGGCAAATTTCGTAGTGCCATAATCGATAAATAAAAGACCTAAACTTTTGTATAAAATAAAATTAAAACAAACAAAAAGAATTTTGATATTTATCTACCTTTTAAACCTTCTCTGGACTTCTACAAATAATTCAAGACCAAAATTAGCCAAATCGGTCCAGCCGTTCTCGAGTTTTAGCGAGACTAACGAACAGCAATTCATTTTTATATATATAGATAAAGACAATAGGGAAGATTTTGGGAAGAGAACAAAACTACAACAGTAAATCAGTTTTATTTTATACTCCACAATCCCAATTCTACATTTATAATGTTCAAATAATTTGATAGCCCTGTCTAGAGGCCAACAAATCACATAGAACAAAGAGTATCATTAAATGATATCACACATCTAGGGGCCGGCGCGGCACAGATCAAAATCGCTACGCGTTATTAAAGTGCATTAATATATTATTATACGTGTAATAGGCGTGTAATCAAACGATATATAATATTTATTACATTGGAAAATAGCTTTAAAAATCCTTGTCTTATTATTGATATTGAGGCAGTTTTTCTTGTTATATTCGACGAGCCAACAATATATTGGTGGTAAATCCTTATAGACATTCAAAGGGAATGTGATTTGAAATATTGCTTAATCCAAATGTTATTATGTTATGTAGTAGTAGGTAGCGGTAATACCAGGTGGAGCGGTTACTGGAGCCCATAGACATCTACAACGTAAATGCCGCCACCCACCTTGAGATATGAGTTCTAAGGTCTCAGTATAGTTACAACAGCTGCCCTACCCTTCGAACCGAAACGCATTACTGCTTCACGGCAGAAATAGGCAGGGTTATGGTACCTACCCGTGCGGACTCACAAGAGAACACCGCACCGCACAGAAACACCGCAAAAGAAGTTTCACTTCTTTCACGTGCGCAAAGTTTCACGCGCACCATTTTTTATTTTTGTTTTTGAAGCAAAATCTCGTATATTCAAATATGAATTCCTAACATCGCTCGATCGAACAGTAAACAAAACCACTCATTACGCTGAATTACGAAACGTAATTAATTCAATCATGTTGAAGATTATAAAGTTTTATATTGCAATTGAACAAATCAAAGGAATGATAATTAAAAAGCAATCATTTGTCCGCTATTAAAGGGGTGTTGTAATAATACGATTGTTGCCACAACGATCCGACGTATGAACGAACATTGCCCGTCGTGGGTAATCTTGTTTTTTTTTTTCGTGCCCATTCCAATGACCTCAATTTTTCAGTTGTCAGGGAGTCAGTCGCTAACTATTGCACCACAGAGTAATTCAATACTATCAGTCATAATAGCTCTCAAAATAATATGAAGTTTAGGATTTTAAGTTAAAAAAGTTACGAAGGTACTAAATCGGTGTTTCTCAACATGGACCCAACGCCCCACAAGGGGACAATTTAATAATTAAGGGGGGCAATCGCACTGAATTAATATAGAACATCTGATTCTGTATTGAAATTATTTTGAATTTGAATTTCAGTTTTTTATTATATGTTTTGAATTATTACTTACTGTATTCTGATAACAATTTCGTAGTGATTTCTTCCTAAAACTTATCATTTATGTTTCTTAAGAGAACAAATCATTTTTTTAATGTTAAATATTATGTATGGGGGGCATAAATTTTTTTAGAAATGTTACAGTAGGGCATGGCACAAAAAAGGTTGGGAAACACTGTACTAAATGCACAACTACATATACATTAAATATGTACAGTTATCCATAAATGTGTATCACCAACGCATTCCGCCCACGTTTCACTGCGACTATCACCAATAGCTCATACCGTCCGTGACCAAAAAAGATATGGTACCTATTCAAAATATGGTATATTTTTTCCCAAAATGAGACCGTTCACAAAGGTCACTTACTGTATAGATGATATATCTCTGTATGCTCCGAACACGCACACATGGCTACAAGTCGAGTGTA